TTTTTTTTTTTGTGTGTGTAACTGGTCTCAACCATAGACCAGGGGGGTCTGGCGTTTTGGGAACGCCGGACCCCCATGAGCAAAAAATTCCGATCGGATTTTGGCAAAAAAAGTCAGTTTTGATTTCGTTCAAAAAATATAATATGTCCGTTTTGACAAAATGGCTGTTAACCAAGCAAACAGCACCTCACGAGGCACATCGTCACAATCCAGTTGGCGGTCGCCTATACACCTCCCTGAAATCGACGAAGCAAACAACACTTCACGAACGGGCTGACGAGCGGGAAGCAAGCAGAGAAAGTCTGTGCTTACCAGGCTTAGCTCCCACGTCACCAGAGCCCACCGACGACAGTCCCAGCACGATTGGCGCCCCTGTGCGCATCGACTCGGCGACGACGTGCTCCAAACCCACAGGGAAACTTGACAGATTCGAGATGTCGGCGTCAATGACCGGAGACGGGATAAATTCATCCCCATCCCGATGACGGAAATCCTCCACGCTGTCCGTCCCCGGACAAAGAGCGTCGACGTCCACAACATCGACAGGTTGGGTTTTCTCCATCGCCACTGTGTCGTCTTGTGTTGTGCTCAAGGTCCCATGGATGTCCAACAACACCTCTCCGCCTTTTAACTTTTTGTCCTCGTGCGCTGTGTCTTTGTCGTCGTCACTCAAATAGAGAAATTTATCTCCAACAGCGTCAGAGGCCTTCTTCAGAACATCCTCTCCCATCGCCTCGTCGTGAAGGCCGGAGTACAAGGGGTCGTCGTATTCCGGCTGAACTGGTTGCTCCATCCCGACGTTGCTGAGTGTCGGATCAATCCGGTCGTCGGCGGAATCGTCCTTGTCCAAAGTCGTCAGAAGTCGACAACCCTTAACGCCTGCCTGTTGAACTCCTTCGTCCGTGTGTCTCGGATGAGTCCGAATTACGGTCGTCTCCAAAGCTGCATCGAGGAGGGACATGCTCACAGGGCCCTGGTTCGGATTCATCCGATCCCCCGCAGTTTCCAATGGCGCCGACGTGTCTGCTTTCACCGGAGAGTCGCTTAAGACTGCTAACTTAGTGTGTACCGTCACCAGGCATTCGGCTCCGAGTGTGCGGGGCTAAACATTGAAACTGGTCGCTAACTCACCCTCAGTTGAACAGTCTGCCTGCAGCTCCTTGTGGACTTCCATGCACAGCATCACGGCGTCCTGACACCGATCGCCTGTCATGGCAGACACGTCCTCCTGGTTCGAATGAGTCCGAATTTTGCCGCCAGGGTTTTCGAAAACCTGGACCACCCGTTCGAGTTCCGTAGACCTTTGTGCTCTCTCAACGGTACTGGCTTCCCGGTTCGGATTAATCCGAACTTCCTTTTGAGGCGAAACTGAACATGGTTCGAGCTTGTCGCTGCCGGACCCGTGGTATGTTGTCGTCTCGCTTCCCGGAAGGCACTGAGTTCCGGATGACGATGTCGTCTCCGAGGTTCGGATTGATCCGAGACAATCCGCCAACCGTTTTTGGAGCTGAGCGAAGCAAGTTCCATTCTTTGCAACAACTGCCCCGCCAACCGCATCGGTAAACTGTGTTGCGCTGGTGGAGCTAATCACAGGGTCCTGCTCACCAGAACGCGTAATCCACCCAGGCCTGAAGTCGTTCTCCGTCTCCATTGAGGTGCTGCCTGTTACCGCCAGAACCCCACCGTCCTCGTCGCGTTCGACATCGGCCCCCTGCCCGTCTCCTGTGTGATGCTTTGTCTTCTCTCCGCTGCGAGGCTTTTTCTTCTCCCGGCTGCCCTTTTTCCCCTCTCCGCCGCCCTCGTGCCCCGGAGACCGTTGTTTCGTCGAACGCTGTTCACTTCCCCCTCCGGTTCCGCGTTGCCCGCCGACTTGACCATCCCCTTCGTCGTCCTTTCCGTGAGACTTGCGCTTCACAACTCCTGCCGGCGGGGTGACCGCAGACAACTCCCAACTCACTTGCTTAATTGACGGGCTTGGCGGAAGGTCGTAGAACGCAGAGGATACTTCCAGCCATTTATTTGACTTCAATAAATCGAACAGCGTTTCCCCGTATGCGCGCACAGCAGGGTCGTCCTTACTTCGACGATTCACCTCACTTAAGCTCTCCAATATTGCATCGTAGGCGTGAGATTTGAATATCTCGAGGTCCCAACGATCGTCATATATCCACCCTCCACTCAAGTCCCTCACAACCACTGCCCAGTCGCCGTCGAGAAGGACTGGCTGGAAATGGCCTCGGTGCCACACGATATCATGGCCCCAATCTTCGATTGTGGAGGTGTGTTTGTCACCCATGTGGTAGGGAATTGCAAGAGCCAAGAGATGTGGATGGTCCGGAGGAACTGGCTGGCCAGGTTGAAGACGTTCGGGCTGCGGTGTGAGATGAATAGGCTCCCCCGGCGAACTCCTCAGACGGGACAACCCACCCGTCTTGACAGGCACTGAGGAGGACACGGGCGTGGGACCGCTTGAGGTGGGTGTAGCGAGAGGTGTCCCCGGTTTGCATACTGACGGCGACTCAGAAACTTGGGCGTTGAAGATGGTCAATTGCCCGTCCAAATCGAAGAGGTCATCCTAAACGCTCTCCTCCTGCTCAGTCTCGATATTGAAGTCGTCGTCCTCACCGAATGCCAGCCTGTAGTTATCCAAAGTGATATCGGCCGGATCGACCACACCCTCGTTAAAAAATACATACTCCAGCCTCTTAGTGAAGCTCACTGCGCCGGCGGGACTCGCTCCGTGGTAGCCCTGGAGGACTGCAATGGCGACTTCCTTCCGCACCACGTACTGATGGTCAAATCTCAACCTTGGTTGTTCGCCGCAAAGGAAGGAGTAGACCTGGCGCCTTTTCTTCAGAGTCAACTTGAAGAATATGTCCTTGTTCGGGTCATAAACGGGCTCGACCACGATATGGTGGAAATCGCATGCATAAGCCCCGGACGACACTTCATGGTTGACATACTGTACGGTGTATTCAAGCTGCGTTGTGTCCCCATCCACGACCAAGTCGTGCCTTCCCTGCTGAAGCAGACTCCACACCACCTGCACGTGCGGCTTGCCCAAGAACAGCACGGCATCCGCCACACCACAGAAGAAAAGAAGCTGATTGCATAACTGATTAGGATTCCGCTCGCCGTCAATGTACACAGCCGCCCCTCTGGATGAGGTTCCCGATGTCCGCGAAAGTCAAGGACTTGAAAGACTCCTCCTCCACATCCGTGGGTGTCACCTTCTGTTTCCTCCGGAGAGCGGTGGCATCATCTTCGGCAACAGCTCCCTCGTACACCAGGTGAGTCAGTTGCCGCGGATCCTCGCCTTTGAAAAGGATGTGCATCACATCCGTCTCCTCCTCGACGCTGTTTTCGAACTGATGCGTCTTTTTCAATGCCGTCTTCCGTACCCACTTCCCCGTGTAGCATCGGGTAGCCCCAAGCGTAGACAAAGATGTCATGAAGGAGAGGTTCCACAGGCAGGGAACGAATACCACCAATGTCTAGTAGTCCTGACAAACGAAGCCCAGCAACTCGCTCAGAGACGCGAATGCCCCAGAGTCCCATTGCGCACAGTCCATAGTTCCACACAAGTCGAGCACGCAAGTGTGGGAGCGTAGCTGATGCCCCAGTTTTCCCAGCGCCTCCTTATGATCTATGGCACTCAATGGGTCGATGAAAAACTGGGCCAGCGTCGTCAAGGCGCTTGTCTTCGTCCACAAAATGTTGATACATTCATCAACGCCTCGAGGGTTTTTTTTGCCTTTGGCGCGATCTCAAGTGATCCCCGAAAGGACGACACGTGATCCCCGAAAGGGTCACCGTCCTCTTGATGTTGTTGTCGTGTTGACACCCGAGAAACTGAGGGCACTTGCTGACGTACGCGGTGTCCGTGAAAAATTTCCTGCTCTCGTTCCAAAGCTTGTCGTCGAGACCTTTGTCCTTGAACTCTTTCAACAATTGCCGCTTGGACCTGAAGAACGTGGAGTTGACATTCCATTCCCGCTAATCCATTTCCTTGTACTCAAACTCCACGTAGTGCCACAGCCTTAGCATAGTCCGGTCGATTTTTATTATGTCGACCATTTCCTTCACAATGAACTTCCCCTGCTCGGCCAACTTCTTGCTACTCATTTGAGCCCACACGACGTTAAAGTTCAAGATGCCGTTCAACAACCTTTTCTTCTCGCGGTCCGTCAAGTCCACCAATTCCTTCCATCAGTGGACATCCGGCTCAGGAACTTGGACGTAGTAAGTTTTCTCCTCCGCGCCTTTCTTTGGCTTCCCTTTGCCCTTTTTCAACGACGGGTCGTCCACCTTCACGTACCAGACACGTTTCTTCAGCCCCTGGCTGTCAGTCACAGTGGAGAGTCCTGGCTTGGCCACCTCCTCATGGGTGGGCGTCTTTTCAGTCCAGCGCCGGCCGTCAGAAGCAAGGAGTTTCCCTTTCGACCACTCATCATAGAACTTCTCCCCCAAAGCAAAGACGGAGTCATCTTCCATGGCCAGCGGGAGGTAGTATCGAAGTTTCTCAGCCCATTCCTTTTTTTTCTTTTCTTCCGTTGACACGTTCCACAAAGGTGTGTACGGTGTTTTCTTCATTGCCAACGCCATGAACTGCACCCACTTTCGCACCTCCTCCTTTTTCTTCGATGCATTGCCGAGCACTACACACGGTTTGCCCTTTATTTTCCAGATGTTGCGAATGTCCCGCATAGACAAAACCTGCAAGCGCGGTGGATTTTTCTTGTCTTGCATGTTGTCTTCACAGCTGACATGGGCGTAGCCGTCGAACTCGTCTTCAGGGAAGTACATCGGTCTGAACGACCATTTACAGAAGTTGTAGTAGTTAAACACGGAATGGTCTTTCACCTTCATCGCCGCCCTCGCGTTATGCTGCCCACACACAGGATAATACCTGTATTTCTCGGGGTGTGAGCGGTCGAAGTCACCAGGCAGCATGCGCACAGGAGGCTCGCCCCTCTCTTGAGGCGCGACGACTGGAGCGAGAACGAAAATGGGCTTCGCGTATCTCATGTCTTTACGTTCGTAGTAGTCGATCATAGCCGACGCGATGGTATCAACGAGGAACTCGTCCAAGGATCGGTGGTTGTACTCGTCTTCCCAGTCTGGAATAACCAATATTCTTTCGGGATGGATGTGCAACACGACGTCCCTCTGCACCCCCGTCTTCATCTCGAGAAAGAACGCATTGTCGAGGTTAAAGGCGTTGTGGTTAATCTCCAGGTCTTCATCCCCCTCCCCGCTGTCGCCCTCATCTGTTTTTTTCTCCCTCGACGATTTCGACCGTTTTCCGGAAGACTCACCGGTTCTTCGCCGTGTCGACAAGTCTTTTGGCGTTTTATCCCCACCTCCAACCCTTTTTCTCTTCTCAACGGAACCGCCCTCTCGTGTCGTTGGCGTCCGAGCACTCCCTCCTTCCTTTCTCTGCCTTTTCGGAGCACCTACTCCCTCTCGCTCTTCCACATCTGGCAAGTTGCGCTTGCCTCCCGACTGAGTCATTTCAGGCGATCTCTCACGGAACAGCTCCTGCTCGAATACCTCCTCCTCCCCGGCGACGTTCCCACTTGCTTCTCGTTCTGGGCCCAACTCCATCTGCAGTTGAGCAGGCGCAGGTCGGGTTTGGCGAGTCGTCTCATCTGACCCAAGCACCTCTCGAACGACCTGCGCAATCGCCCGGCGAAACCTCGGCCACCTGCATGCCACAACGAACGCACCGATACTTTCGACCAGATGACGAGGAGTCGTCGATTCTGAGCCCTGTTGCAACAGTTCGCCAACGCCGCCTCCACGTGCCGTCGACTCCCCAAGCAAACCTTGGCCGCGAGATCCCTGCAAGCCTGGTTTCAAAGGAGCACACGGATGGTCGTCCTCCGAGTCGTCTGACATGCCCACCTCTTGATCAGGAGGCGTAGCTGGCAGGCCACCCTGACCTCCCATCCTCCTTTCAGAGCACTCTCCTCCCGTGAACCCAACAGGACCACTGATCGATGTCCCAGGTCGGACGTCCACGACACTGATAGAGGTACCTGATCCCGCCCAAACCTCGAGGAAGTTTGTCACGTGAACGACCTCGTCGTGTCCCGGAGCTAGCGGGACAAAGGAGGGCAAAGACATCGCACCCCGGCCGTACCCGCCAAACTTCTTCCCGACAACCTTGCATCCTTTTGCGATGTCGTCGACGCAACCATCACTTTTGTAAAGCTTCCGCAACGTAAACCTAAAATTGTAGTCGCGTTCGTCGACCCGCTCGACCATGGACCCTGCGAGACGCGTCCTATCGGCGTGAACGGCGACGAACAAGACCGGCCCGCACTGTGGTTTCAACGAGTCGGAGCCGTCGTGGCTCGCCCAGTCCAAATACCAGACACATTCGCTGTAGTCGCACCACAAGTTTTAAGCCCGTCATTCTTCCTCCCCACCGTCACCTCCCCGACTCGTTTCCCTTGCCGCTGACGACGTTGTCCCTCGACGCTCCTCTCCATGCGGGGCGGAACCACTAGCGGAGCGCCTTCGTCCGTGTGTAGCCATTCCCTGAAACACGCGGACAAAATGAACGCACATGCAATCAGAACACTCAGCACGTCCCAACATCAACCTCGACCCACAACACGTATTCAATTATCGATCTAGGGGGACCCAAAAAAACGAAGTTCGGTCATAGTTAGACGACAGTGGTCCACACACCTGCTCGAAAAGGAGGGCAACTGCACGCTTCGGATGAATCCGAGGCATCGTGAACCCTCGTCGTCACATTGTCCTTCGACGAATGGTCGAAAACGAAGATGTGCACCCCATGGTTCGGATACAGCAGGATAGTCGAAAACGAAGATTGTCCTTCAGAGAACGAATGGTCGAAAACGAAGACCGCGGGATAGTTCAGATACATCCGAAGTAGGCGCAGTCGAAAGACCGACGTCGCATATGGGTGCCAATAATAGGCACCTGCACCGGTAAAAGCAAGAGCGCGCTAGAAGGCCCTAGAATTAAGATAGAGCAGACGAAGATGTGCACCCCATGGTGATACGGTTTCATCCGAAGTCGACAAGCGGATCGTAAAGATCACCGGTGTAGTTCGGATGCATCCGAGCTCCAAAGTGGTGTGGACCACGTCCGTGTGGCCCAGACTAATCCGAACTCGAGTTTTCTCGTCCTTTTGAGTCGGTAACGGTTGTGACTCGGATGCATCTGATTTCAAACAGCGTGGTCCAGAGACGGCCGTCCACAAGAGGGCGCCATCGACAGGGCGTGTTTTCGTCAACGACCTGCGAGCATTGGGTTCATTCGAGACGGGGACCGGCGGATGGACCCCACCGTCTGTTGACGCCCATCCAGCCATCCAAGCTTTCGTTATTCCCCTGCTGTCCTTGGGTCCACCCGGACT